AAAGCGATGTATCTCTGCACCCAAATGAGCTAGAAACAAGGTGTTTTCACTGTTTTGTGTAGATTTTGATGGATTTTCTAATAAACGAACAAATTAAAAATTCAAAAACTTGTTTTAGGGCCGCAACTTCGTTTTTCTCAACCAGATTCAAAAATCTGCTCTCTAATGTGAAAATCCAGACGGTTAGCATCACCTACAAGATCAATTTCACATGTATCGCAATCGAGTTGAAGTCTGACAAGTGGTCATTGCTCATTGAAGTTGGTCAGTTTCAAGAAAGGTATTGGCTCCGTAGATGGAAGGTCAACCGAATTCCGATTGAATCTCGTATCATGATGTGGGATGATGTCCTACGCAAAATTTGGTATCAGTGTCCGCTGAGAAGCATCTCGGAACATGATGCCTTGGAAAACCTGGATACCCATTTGCGGAGCTTTTTGAGAGTTGAGAAGTCCAATGGATCATCAGGAATGATATGCCAGAACTTTTANACTTTTTTTTTTGGAAAAAGTCANTAAAATTTGATAAAATCATGGTAGGTGACCAATTTAAGGAGGGAGGCCTCCACTACAGGACCATTGAAATGGCACCGGAACACTTGAAATTTNTGGAAGAAACAACTCCAAATGAGTTGCATCTAAATGTGCGAACTTTCCCAAATCAACAGTACCAGATTGATGAGCCAATCCGAAAAATCCATTTATTGAATCCCGCAATGATGGATCTTCCAAACGTCCTTCAAACTGGAATCGAATCCATTAAATGTCAAGTGGACCAGAATCAAATTGAACTGATAAATCAAGTGATAAGAAAATGGGTGCAAGGGGAGAACCAACAATTGGAACGTCTTGAATTTCATACCGAAGAGGGGTGCCTTCTTTGTCCTGGATTGTTGGCTAGTGTCGAGAGAGAATTGCAGCCGCAGTTTAAGTGAGTCTGGGTCCTATTAGGATCAATTTTTTGGAACCAAAACAATCTTATCTGATAGAACGTTTTAATTCCTGCAAAACGATACTATTTCTAAAACGGTGTCTGGTCTATGAACAAAGATGTAGCCAAATTAGCCTGAAAGCCTACCGTAATCGCTGACCTTTCAAATGACCTTTTACTTTGAGACAATTTTTCTCGGCTCCTGTACATGCTACCAAAAATTGTTAACTGATAAAACGTTAATAATAATATGAGCAATATTTTACTAGTTGATAATTTTTTGATATCTCATACAGTAATCGAGATATATGAGCTTAAAATGTGTGTATGTTTGCTCTAATAGAATACCGCCCTGTATGTGGGTTTTGAGCCAACTTATCTCGGCTTCTGAGGGAGATATCGAAAATCTGTCAACTGATAAAATGTTTATCATAATATCACCAACATTTTATCAGTTAGCAGTTTTCTGATATCTCTTCCAGGAACTGCGATATATGGGCTCAAAGTGCACTCACCCTGAAAAAAGCTAAAACTATACTTTTTCAGCTCCGAAGAAACGATCCAAATATTTGGCCTCCAACCGCAGGACACGATTTTTGAGATCGCTAGAGCAACGGATGGCCGTCGAGCCGCATTAGTTCCAAATCGTCAAAGCGCCGTATCTTGGCTCCCAGATGAGCTAGAAAGCTCAAAATCACACATATTGTCTTGTTTCGAAGTGTGTTTTACCTGTGTCAAAATGCCCAAAAACTTTAGAAACACAAAATTTTTGCAAAAATTGAAAACTATGGTTTCAGTAGTAAATCACATTGAGCATAGAAAATAAAATATTTTGGTGCAAAAATCAAATTTCTAGCTTGGCTTTGTGAGACGCTGACAGTTAGAGTGTCTAGCTGTCTGCGTCTCTCACCTCTATATCTTTAAAGCGCTATATCTAGTTTTTCGTGCTTTTGAAGTACGAATTTGAAACTCACAATATGCAAGGATCGATTTCACGAAGGATTTCCTCCTGAACCACGCGTGGGTATTTAAGCAATGGGAATCGACCCATTTGGAAATAATAGAGTAGAGAAGGGAAGGTAGAATCGGGTGGTAGTGGGGAAGATAATGGGTGCGATTAGGACAGGAGGAGGTCCTTCAGGTGAGACAGGTCTGCCACGTCATCAAAGTGAGGGAGCACACAAAAAGGAGAGGGAGACATACCTGTCCTAAGCAAATTGTCCATCTGCCACGTCACCTGCAACCATTCTAGACAACAATCCAATCTGTTTAGCACTCTCTCTGTTTAGTGTACTCTCTCGCTTATTTGCTCTGTTGCCTCTTGTCTCACCTGTATAGACCTCCTCCTGTCCTAATTGCCCTTACTACCATCCAATTCTGTCTATTGTTCAAATCTAATAAAGTTTATAAAACTAGAATTCTTACACACCTCGATTTTTCAAAAAAAAAAAGTTCAGTAAATTCGGAGACCAAAACTATCCTAGTACGAGTGGTACGAACAAGTTTTAGCTCCACAAATCAAAGTTTTCCAAAGTAAGCCTTGTTTATACTCATTTCGAAGCTCTAAACATGCTTGTTTCGAAAAATTTTGTTTTAATTACTATGGACCAAAACTGACCGAGTTATGGACCGAACTAGTTTTGGGTCAAAAATCAAAATGTTCCAAAGCATGCCTTGTTTATACTCATTTTGAAGCTAGGGACCTGAAATTTACAGTTGTGTAGACCAGAAAATCATAGACAGGCAAATAAGCCAGATATGACGTCCTAGGGTCGCTCAGCTTGCTTTCAAAAATCGTTTAATTGCGGCCTAGCTGCGGACATAGCCTCAGCCCATAAGGCTAAGACCTTCCTAGAAGGTGTTCAAACCACACACACACACACACACACACTCATTCTAATAGCCAAACAGTTACATAGACAGGCCCTGAGGACAGTCATCTTTCTTGTAAGGGACCATTAGGGTGAAAGCGAGGCACGTAACCCTTCAATGTCCCCCCGGACCCCTGCAGATGACCTCATCTGTCTCTATTTGCCACGTCATCAAGATTGGCCACCTCTTCTTCCCGTATTGTTCCTCACCACTCATCTTTTGGCCCCTTTTAATGTCTTTTTCCTACTCGATTAATACCAATAATTCCAACAATTAAAATTTTCATAATTATTAAATTAATTATATTCATCCAATAACTATCAAAATGCCTATATCCCTTCACCGTATGCCGATCCTGATTAAAAAGATGATCATATCAGAAATGTCCCTAGACGAGAGGTATGTTTAATGAATAAATTGATTTAAGACAAATGTAAAATTCAATTCTATAAATTTTCGTAGTTTACAGCTTTTTGAAAGCTAAAACAGTTCGTGAGTTATGTGCCTTTAAAGGTAAGGCATCCGCTACCTCGTTGGGCGCACCAACTTTAAAAGCGCATATCTCGAAAATTAAACGAGTCATCAAAAATGTTTAAATTGTAAAATTTTTTTAAATTTTGTAGACTACATTTTTGTAGTTTACACATTTTTGATAAAATCTCTAGTTTTTGAGATATGCGCCATTGAAGGTAAGGCACCCACCTGCTCCGCGAACTTTAAAGGCGTATATCTCTAAAACTACAAATGCTATTAAGTATAGGTCAACTATCCAAATTTGTAGTATTTCATGATCTACATTTTTATAATGATCAATTCTTTGATGGCTGTTTTAGTTGTTGAGATACGCACCTTTGAAGGTAAAGCACCCACAGGGTTTTCTATTATATCTTAATTTTAAAGGCGCATATCTCAAAAACCAAGCGAGTTATCAAAAATGTTTAAACTGTGAAAATCTAGTTTTTGAGATACGCGTCTTTAAACATCCCGCTTTTTCAGACTACACCTGTCCGTTCTCTCCAAACGAGCCAGCTGCATTCTGGGACTATACAAGGCCAACCTTAGCTCGATTCTAATTACAGTAAAAGCCTCCCATATTACCGTTCGTGTCGGAAAGCTTCCACGTGGCGCCTGGTTCTTTGAAATACCATTCTACTCATCCTCTAAAGACAACAATAATTTTGTATGGAAGCTGGAAGGCTCAGCTATTCAAGTTAAACGAACCCATTATCCTCCACAAACGCATTTCGTGTTAAGCGCTGACGGAGATGCGGTCGCTCTTTTCGGAAAGCTCCTGAGACATCTTACAAGCTCTCATAATATTCAAAACTGCTTCGATTGCAAGTTCTACGCTATTCCCGATGGTGTTGTTTCTCAACTGGAATCTAATTACGTCTATGACAAAATCGATATAGGAAACGATCGTTTGGAAGGTGTGACGCCTGAAGATCTGAAGTTCCTGTTGGAGAATCTCAGAGCAAAGGTGCTCCGTCTAAATGTGGAATGCTTACCAATCAGTATCTATAAGTACCAGAAGAATGGAGATAAGGATAGTTTAATCCAAAAGCTGATCATTGGGAGTTATAGCTGGGTGAATTTCTCTGAACTGCCACCAATACGAGTGATATCTATCTGGAGAGATGGACTGCATCAGGTAAACACAATTCTGAAGGCTTGGATAGCTGGAAAGAATCGGGAAATGGAGATTGGAGATTTCGAGCTTGGCAAGTACTCGGATCGAAACCGCGAGATGATTTTTACTGGCATAGAAAGTGATACCACCAGTTTAACGTAAGTTTTTCCAAGCTTTTAGCAATTTTGGAACGTTTAATTTGTTTGAAAATAGTCTAAAAACCAAACCATTCAATCCAATAACCAGTTTTCTAGCATCTCGAGAACTCGAGATATAGCCGTTTGAAGTTCAGGGGCTAGAGACGCAACCAAGAAGAAAACTCTAACTGTCTGCATCTCTCACCGAACTTTAAATGACCATATTTTGACTCTCAGATGATCTAGAAATGTATTTTTGCACCAAAAACTGTTATTTTCTACACTCGATTTGGTTTACTACTGAAATCATACTATTCAATTTTTCCTTAAAATGTTGTGTGTCTACAATTCTTGGAATTTTTGGGACACAGTTGAAAATACACTTCGAATTGATAAAATCTGTAAAATTTTCAGCTCTCTAGCTCATCTGTGAGCCGAGATACAGCCGTTTGAAGATTTGCAGGTAAGAGACGCAGACAAGGAGACAACTCTAACTGTCTGCGGCTCTCAAGCTAAACTTCAAAGCTCTGTATCTCAGATGCTAGATGAGCTGGAAATGTGATTTTTTTCATCAAATTCTATTATTTTCTTTGCTCAATGTGGTTTACTACTGAAATCATAATTTTCAATTTTCCCCGAAAAATCTGTTTTTCCAATATTTTCGGACTTTTTAGACACCGCTGAAAATACTTCTACTTCGAATCGATAAAATCGGAAAAATTTTCAGTTTTCTATCTCATCTGAGAGCTGAGATACATCGATTTGAAGGTTTGGAAGTGAGAGACGCAGACAGATAGCCACCATAACCGTCTGCGTCTCTCAAGCTTAACTTCAGATGACCTTATCTTGGCCCCCAGGTGAGCTAGAAATGTGAAACTTTTACGGTTCGTGTAATTTTTTGCGTATTTTCAGAACCGCTGAACGAAACGCATTTCTCTCCTCCGAGAGTCACTTTCCCAATATCAAAGCGCTTCGAGATACAGTTGCATTGGATATAACGAGAGAAGAAGATGAGCTTCGAGCTACAGTAATCGAGGCGACGACTGGTCCGAGTTTCCAACCTACACAAAAGATGTTTGTCATGGTTTGGAGTGATGCGAATCTCAGAACGATTGGACGAATTGTTGATTAATATTGTTCTTGTTTTTCATATGAATTTTTTACTTAGCTGTTTTTAGTCCAAAATGACTGAAATTTGAGAATTGAATTGTTTGCGTTTTAAAAAAGGCTCAGATGGGCGGTGCCTATTCCCAAACGCGCGACAAGGAACACATACAGATCAGCAAGAAGAGTGACCGTAAACACTCTAATAGAAGACGCCCTCCCAGATCGTCAACTTTGAGCCTGTATATCTTGGTTACTGTCAAAGATATCAAAAAGTGGTTAACAAACAAAATGTTGCTGATATTATGATAAACATTTTGTCAGTAGACCACTTTTTGATATCTTTTACAGGAACCGAGGTAAATTGGCCCAAATTTAAAAGTTAGGGACGGCGTTCTATTAGAGTATTTACGGTAGATTGCATGGAATTTTTAGAGTGGTGGTCCAATTGTGCACTGTTTATGAAACAATTAGACCAAGGCGGTCGAAGACAAGGCCGCAACAGACCGTTCTTTCGGAAACAAGCTCATCGCTAGCCCACCAGAAGCTTCTAGGGTCGCCTATATCATAAAAATCGTGCCTTTTCAAAATGTCCCAAAAATCAACTGAAAATAATTTTTTGTAGATGTTATTGATCGGTACTGTAAATCTGAAAATTGCATTTTGAGCATTATCATGTTTTCAGCTCAGCATGTGCTTCAAAATAATCCCAAATACGGCTATGTTCCGCCCACGTTGAGTCACGCAAACTACAGTAACCCGAATCAGAGGAACCCAAATAGAATTGGGACCAATAGGTACCGTATCCCAAAAGTATCATAACGTGAACTCTTTTTCCTTATTCCCAAATTTTAGAAAAATTTGGAGACGTGGAATTCGAAACGTCTCCAGAATTGGTATTTCCCGCTTTTTCTTGGCAACCAGAGAACGTGAAGAAAAATGGTGTATTCGAATCAAGTGAGTTAAAAATGCAAATGCGCTCCAATGCAAAAAAATCTTAAAATTCAAAATTTTTCAGCGTTTGGCTTGGTTCGACATCATTGCCTCTCCGATCATCCTATTTTGGTACATTGGAGCATTTTATGCATTTTTGCTCTTCGTCGTCAAACCTTTTATGGTGCCGAAAGGATCTGCTAGACAGGTAAAATGGGTTACTGTAGCTGGAATTTTGAAATTCCAATAAATTCAGGAATTCAGAAATTCAGGAATTCAGAAATTCAGAAATTCAGAAACTCAGAAATTCAAAAATTCAGAAATTCAGAAATTCAGAAATTCAAAAATTCGAAAATTCAGAAATTCAGAAATTCAGAAATTCAGAAATTCAGAAATTCAAAAATTCGAAAATTCAGAAATTCAGAAATTTAGAAATTCAAAAATTCAGAAATTTAGAAATTAGAAATTCAGAAATTCAGACTTAAAAATTTTCAAAAAAAAATTTTCAGCCATTCCTTCTGTGCGGTGAGAAGCCATCGGAAAATCGCTCACTCAACATTCATTGATCTCTGAAAATCAATCAATTCTGTATCACCAATATTAGACTAGTCGCTCTTTTTTGTCTGGAAATTTGTCTGAAATTCTGGAATTTCAGACAAATTTCAGGCAGAATTTTTCAAGTAAATAAATCATTGTTTTTATTTTATTTTCTAATTGTTTCAACTTTAATATTCAGGGTTATTATTCAAAAGTTCAAGAAAATCTAGAGTTTGAAAGGTTTTTTTGAAAATTAAAAAAAATTAAAAAAACATTTTTTTGGAAAAAAAATTCCAGAAAATCCTCTAATTTTACCCATTTCCCTTCATGTTTTCTCAAAAATTTCCGGGTTTTTTTTCTGTTTTCTTAATCAAGTTTCTGTGTTTTCTCTGTTTCCCAAAAAAAAAAGACAGAAAATAAATTTTGAAAAGAATGGGAAAATGCTAATTAGATCAACACACAACACAACCGAAATGAGAAGAGGATTTGGGGAAAGACAGCGAAACTAAAATACAAAAAATGAAAGAGAATTCGATGGTCTAATTTTTCTAAAAATGACCGACCCATTTCTGAAGTTTTCAACAAAAGATTTTGGAATTCGAGACTCTCGAGATTCTGAGATTCTGGGATTCTGAGATTCTGAGATTCTGAGATTCTGAGATTCTGAGATTCTGAGATTCTGGGATTCTAAGATTCTAAGATTCTGAGATTCTGAGATTCTGAGATTCTGAGATTCTGAGATTCTGGGATTCTAAGATTCTAAGATTCTGAGATTCTGAGATTCTGAGATTCTGAGATTCTGAGATTCTGAGATTCTGAGATTCTGAGATTCTGAGATTCTGAGATTCTGAGATTCTGAGATTCTGAGATTCTGAGATTCTGGGATTCTAAGATTCTAAGATTCTGAGATTCTGAGATTCTGAGATTCTGAGATTCTGAGATTCTGGGATTCTAAGATTCTAAGATTCTGAGATTCTGAGATTCTGAGATTCTGAGATTCTGAGATTCTGAGATTCTGAGATTCTGAGATTCTGAGATTCTGAGATTCTGAGATTCTGAGATTCTGAGATTCTGAGATTCTGAGATTCTGGGATTCTAAGATTCTAAGATTCTGAGATTCTGAGATTCTGAGATTCTGAGATTCTAAGATTCTGTGATTCTGAGATTCTGAGATTCTGAGATTTCAGAGTTCAATTTTCTAATTTTTTGAAAATTTGGATTCATTTGAATTCCAAAATTTCATGATGATTATTGAATTCCTAAAATTTATGAAATTTCGAAACTTCCTAACTTCTGGATTTGCCCGATTTTTTTGTTATTGATATCCTGAAGTTCTGAAATTCTGAAATTCTAAAATTCTGAAATTCTGAAATTCTGAAATTCTGAAATTCTGAAATTTTTAAGATTCTCAAATTTCCAAATCTGTGATTCTGAAATTAAAGTTTGAATTTGGAATTTTGCTCTCTTCTTTCCCTTTTTCCAAGTCATCGTTTAGATACAGTAACCCCAAAGCTTCGAAACTTTTTTCTACTCCTCATCTACCGTAACCCAAATAATCCACAATTTCAAAAAATAAGGAAAATTTGGGAAAATACAGAATTTGCAAAAGTAACAGGAATATGAAAGCCATGCAAATTTTATAAAATTCCAGAATTCTCAGTTCTCCATCTACCGTAAACCCAAAATATTTCAAAATTATCTACTTTCTCCACTCGGTGCCCCTCTACCGTAACCCAGTGAACCTCAAAAGCCCTATCTACAGTAACCCAAAAAAACACCCAAAACCAAAAACAAAACAAAAAGGAACCCTGACAAATAGTTCTCCATTTCTCATTTTTCTCGCCCGACCCCCTTTCTAACTAACCCGATTGCTCCCTGTTAATCCCGAAAGGATTAGAAGCTTCTACTTTTTCTTCTTCGCGACGTCTTCTGAAAGTATTCTGAAGATTTTTGAACACTTTGTGAAATTTCTCTCTATCCTTCTTTTTCTCTCTCTCTCTCTCTATCTCTCTCTCTCTCTTTTTCCAAAAAGATCCCAATATTAAGGACCCTCTTGAGAACGGACGGAAGAGTCACGCACACCTTCTCTGAAGGAAAATATTCAGAAGACGTTAGGATTCTTCCAGAAGACGTTGAAGGGGAAGAAGACACTTCACGTCTTCTTCCAAGTGTTTTCTGGTTCTTTGGACTAAACGAAAAACGGGAAAAAAGGAAATTTCATTTTTTCCGTTGTGTTGAAGACCCACAAACATCCGAATTTTCTATATTTCCAGGTTTTTAGGAATTCTAATTTTGAATTTCGTCCTGAAAATGTCCAGTTCCAAAAATTCAAGTTTGCCATATTTTCTGTAATTTTGACATCTTCTAAATTTCTAAATAAAAATTTTGAAGCTTCAGGATTTCTGAAATTTCGATATTCAGAATTTCAGATTTTCAGAATTTCCGAATATTCGAAATTCTTGGAATTCAAGGATTTCTAAATTTCAGGACTTTGAAAATTCCGAATATCAGATTTTATCAAAATTCTGAATTTCTGAATTTCTGAATTTCTGAATTTCTGAATTCCTGAATTTCTGAATTTCTGAATTTCTGAATTTCTGAATTTCTGAATTTCTGAATTTCTGAATTTCTGAATTTCTGAATTTCTGAATTTCTGAATTTTTGAAATTCTGAATTTCTGAATTTCTGAATTTCTGAATTTCTGAATTTCTGAATTTCTGAATTTCTGAATTTCTGAATTTCTGAATTTCTGAATTTCTGAATTTCTGAATTTTTGAATTTCTGAATATCTGAATATCTGAATTTCTGAATTTCTGAATTTCTGAATTTCTGAATTTCTGAATTTTTGAATTTCTGAATTTCTGAATTTCTGAATTTCTGAATTTCTGAATATCTGAATTTCTGAATTTCTGAATTTCTGAATTTCTGAATTTCTGAATTTCTGAATTTCTGAATATCTGAATTTTTGAATTTCTGAATATCTGAATATCTGAATTTCTGAATTTCTGAATTTCTGAATTTCTGAATTTTTGAATTTTTGAATTTTTGAATTTCGAAATTAAACAATTTTAAAATCCAAAAGTCCAATATTCTCGAAAACTTTCTAGAAAGCATTCTAAGCATACAAACCAAAAATGGGAAATTTGAGCAAAAACTCGAAATTTGCTCCGAAAAAGCAAGAAAGATGCCATTTCAAATCCGAGTCAAAAGTGTCGTTTCCTATTTCCTCGGAACAAGAAAAAAGAAAATAAAAAATCACATAAAAATGTAAAAAAATTATGTTGTCAGTTTTTTTTTGTTTTTTAAAAACAGAGATTTTTCTTGGATGGATGGGTTCAAATGTGATGGATTTCGGAATTTTGGTTTTTAGGAAATTTGGAAAAAATTCAAAAAACCGGAAGTTTTAAAAAATTCCTAAATTGCGAGTAAAAATTTGAAGAATTTAGAAATTCAGAAATTCAGAAATTCAGAAATTCAGAAATTCAGAAATTCAGAAATTCAGAAATTCAGAAATTCAGAAATTCAGAAATTCAGAAATTCAGAAATTCAGAAATTCAGAAATTCAGAAATTCAGAAATTCAGAAATTTTGAAATTTAGAAATTCAGAATCTCAGAAATTCAGAAATTCAGAAATTCAGAAATTCAGAAATTCAGAAATTCAGAAATTCAGAAATTCAGAAATTCAGAAATTCAGAAATTCAGAAATTCAGAAATTCAGAAATTTTGAAATTTAGAAATTCAGAATCTCAGAAATTCAGAAATTCAGAAATTCAGAAATTCAGAAATTCAGAAATTCAGAAATTCAGAAATTCAGAAATTCAGAAATTCAGAAATTCAGAAATTCAGAAATTCAGAATCTCAGAAATTCAGAAATTCAGAAATTCAGAAATTCAGAAATTCAGAAATTCAGAAATTCAGAAATTCAGAAATTCAGAAATTCAGAAATTCAGAAATTCAGA